TAACAAGATCAGAGAATGCACTACCTTTTTCTGTAGTCTGTGCTTTTAATACCAGAACAAAGTGATCGTTTTTAACTGTAATTTTTTTGAAGCTAATTATAAAAAAAAAAAAAAAGATTTAATTTTATCAATGTATAAAGTATTAGGAATTATTACTGAGGAGAAATACAGTTCTTTGGGTAGAGAAATGTTCAGTAAATGCAAGTAGGAGCCTGGCAAAGCTGAACTATTCCTTGTATAACTTGACACGTCTTCTGCATGGCCGACACGACTAAAACCGATTTTACTTAATTCCCCCTTACCCCAGTCATGGTTAAAATACGGTCTGAGCTATAAAATTCATATTTAAGGCTGATATTGAAAGTTTAGTTTAAAGAAAAGGGAAAGTCTTGGGTTGAATGGTAACATTGTTTCTGATTTACTTGAAGTATAATGAGCTGAAATTGGCTCACTACCTAATTAATTTTATTTCAATTTAGAGAGCACGCTGTTAATATTCTTTTTTTTTTTTTTTACAGTCAGGAAACACTGTTTAAGCCAAGCTCTGAGACTAGAGAGCAGAAGTAATACTTGAAAGAAGTGGCCACTTAAGACATAGGTCTTTGTATTACATTGAGAATATCTATGAAATCAATTTTTCTATGTCAAAGTTGACTCAAAAGGCCCTCTTTTTTTTTTTTTTTTCCCTTTGGTTACTTACTGAGAGCAATTTTTCTACGTTTCTAGTTAGAATGGAAAGCTTTCTAGATTTTTGGAAAAGTTGTATGTGAATGCAGCTGCTGTGATAGCTAAGGCAAATGAGAATAATTATGAGGGTGAGAATGGAAGTACGTGAACAAAAACATACTGCACTCTAATTTCAAAATTAATTTCAGTGAGATGATGAAAAACTTTTAAAAATAAGATTAAATTTAAAACAAAACAAATAATTTGTGGCTTTTAATCTCTGCTATATAACAAAAGGGCTTAATACAAAACCAACAGGCAGTCAGAACAACAAAGCTGTGTTAATCCCTGACATCTAACAAAAACCAGTACTTTCAAGATTCTAATCTTTCCAAAAAACCCCAAACCAAGCAGAGATGGGAAAAAACCACCTTTACAGTAACCCCATCCTAACATGTTTGGCATCGGCTGGCGCCACACACCGGGGGCACACACAGTTTCT